CCCCCCCCACCCCAGCCTCACAAACATTTTCACTGCAGAAGTTATGTTCTCTTTGCAATCACGAAATTTAAAGATAAAATTCCCAGCGAAAGCACAGTAACGGCGGTGCTGTGTCCCCAAAGCCGCAGGTGGCCGTGTCAGAGCTGGAGAGTTCTCAGATTTGCAAGAGACCTACGGGGCTTTCCTCCTGGGCTGGTACGTTTGACGCAAGAACAGTTGAGAAGAGTGGGAGAACAGGGCTTTGCTGGATGTTGCAGCTGTCACGATGACACTCTGATCACTTCTCATCACTGGGCCTTTCTAGTGTTTGTTCATGATCTTCTACTCTTCCCATGTCCTTTTCTATTTGACTTACTGATAGTGGGTAGAGGTTATTGGGAACTGTGTTGTTAGGGTGGGTTGGTTGTTGGTTTTGGTCTGTCGTTGTGTGTCCTCCTCCTCAAGTTTTCTTAAATTTAGATTCAATGAAGTTAAGGAAACATTGAGTGAAAGTTATGTTTTGATCCTAAGTTATCTGTTGGTACATGGTGTCGTTTAAGCATACGTGAGTCAGGGCGCTCTTTGAAGTCAACAGCAGAAAAGGATTTCCTTTCAAAACTGAGGAACTACTGCTACTTTTTTGTTAATAACATGGAGTTGTTTATGCCATATGAAAATGTTAAGCAAAAGCTTGGACAAGCAAACGCCTGCCTCTGAGGATCACAAGAGTGGAGGACGCCTGACTTGCTGGAGAAGGACTTTTGCCTGAGAGTGCTGTAAGGCCTAAGAAATGCCCACACAGGGTGGGAGTGTTGCTGCTCTGTTCTGTTTTCAGGTGGTGACACCTGTGTCTGTCCAAGCTTTGACCGACTGTTTCACAGGCATCCCTAAAACTAGATGAACCTTTTTCTTGGCGCAGTCTTCATAGGAGACCCTGTGCCAAATGGGCTGCTGTAGAGTCCAGCACATGCAGCACATCTTCAGCGTGCATCAAAAAGAACGCTGGCCTTGGAAATTTGGACCACGCTGTGCCCTTGGGAGGGCTGAGGATCTGTGTCCAACTCGAGTGTGAGGAAGGTGCGTCATTTCCAAGGCTGCTTGTGGCTTCTCCAGACGTTCTTCTCACCCTTAGCAAGGCTTCTCCAGGTCTCTGGGTCTCAACTTGAGAGCGCTTGGTCTGGACTCCTGGCAGGCAGCAACAGAGTCAGGTTTCAGGTCCAAGGAGAAGGAAAGAGGGAAGATCCAAATTCCTGAGAGGTGCTTAGGCATACCAGTGATTTTATCATCAGAGGGATCAGGCAGCAACCTGGCAGCCCTGGAGTATATGTCAGAGCCTCTTGCCCTATTCTTAGGAGATGATAATGTGCTCATCAATCTCCTAGTGCTCCTCACAGAGGTATGTGCTTTGGTACTGCTCCCTCTAGTTACGTGGAGAAGCCTAGCAAACAACCCAGTGTTCAGCAACAAAACTCTTTCAGATGGCTATGGATGCTGCTGATGTTGCATCATCAATGCTACCAGTAGGAGTTGGGTTAGACAGAGATGACTTAACTCTTCTCTTCCAGATTCGTGAAACAAGCGTTCCTGAGGGCCTCACTCCCAGACAGTGGTATGCGTGAGTTCCTACATTCATATTTCAAATAGTGTGGGCTACTCCAGAAAGAGAGCATTCCAAGTTATTCACCATCAGATGTCTAAGATTTTCAGTCATCAGGCAGTCCCCCGTGGGGAGGGGCACTTGACAAGGGACAGAACCATGAGCAGGTCACTTGGTGGCATTAGGTGTTCTTAAGACGCTGGCCATGCCAATTGCTTGTTTACAGAGGTATGAGGTTCCCTGGTTCCTTAGGTGGAAGGAAACTCAGATCTGAGATTCATTTGCGTTGTTTTGACCATTACAGACCTTTTCAACATATGTGGCCTCTTGGTAGACCTCTGGAAGCCGAAGCAGGCTTGATCACCAGAGTTTGTTGCTGTTGAATTGAACTCCGTTTACTGGATTTTACCTTGGCTGCATTCTTTTGTCCAGAGTGAGACTTGTCCTGTGCTGCTTGTATTGTTATACATGTCTACACCAGGATCTACCAGCGTTTTCAATTGGATAATATTTTGTGCTATGTCATGCTGTGGATCTGCCCTCACTAGCTGCAGAGCCTCAAGCTCTACAGGTGGCTTCCCAGAATGTTTGTATTCCTTACTGATTGCAGAGGGCTTATCAGTGTGCTGGCTTCAGGCAGGAACGAGCTCCTTTTCTTCACAGTGCTGTTGGCTGGCCCAGAGCAGCCGAGGGAGTGTTTCATTCCATGGTAGGTCAGTCTCAGGGCACATGCGCAGGAAGTGGGCTGGAGGGGTTGTTAAGACTGGGGCCAGCTTGATAGCTGGGCCCTTAGCTCCTTTGTTAGCTCTTGGCACGATCATTAGCCATGAGACAGGTTCCTTTGTTAAGGGGTTGGCTGGCTTTTTTGAGGTGTTGCCCTGGGGTTTTGGTTCTGAGGGCTCTCAGGCTCCCTCTCTCACTTCTCGGGACCTGGCTGAGTGTTGGTCGGCAGGTGATGAGCAATTGTATAGTGTGTTTTATTTTCTATTATTTTAATTACTTATTAGTAGTATTGTTAGTAGTATCACTATAATTTTCATTTATATTAAATTATGAAATAGTTCTTAACTCTTACGAGCTTCCTTGTCTTTTCCTCCAACTCTTGTCCTGCACTGGGGGAGAGGGTGGGAGGTGAGCAAGCGACTGTGTGGTACTTAATTGCTATATTAGGTTAAACCACGACAATGGGTAACTGCAGTTTTGATGTATATGGTCCTTATGTACCTTCATATTCCTTCTTGTCATGGCCCAGGAGGTGTGCCAACCAGTTTTCCAGATGAGAAGTGCTGATACTGTGGGAGGAGAACCTGTCAGCATGAGGTGGAGTAGCCTGGTACTCTGTACGTAATGCCACAGCAAAATAATCTCCAGGCATGAGCACCGGTGGCACGTGGGTGCTCTGAGTTAAAATGGGGCAGTCTATTTGGGGACTGTCTTGTCTTGTATTTAATAACGGATTTTTTTTGAAAACAAGGAATGGCTCAGTAGTTAATTACTGATTCAGATATGAGTCTTTTTCCTGCTTTATTTTCAGTTTTAGTTGTCATAATCTGAAGAAGGAAGGGAAAGGGGAACGTTGTGTGTAGCGGACATCACTTTGTTAAATATGGACAAGGCACCTCTGTTCTGCACTTAAAAACCAGCGGATTAATTACTTGAGAGTGCCTTGCGTAGTTTTCCATGCTCTGTCCTTTTAAACCAGTCTGTGTTCATTCAATGTTTAAAATCCCTGCAACTGCTAGGGAAGGGACAAGGGAATCCAAAATCATCCTCTTAATTCGAGCTCCATGGAGGAGTTGACTGTGGAGGGGCTTCAGTCTGAAGTTAAATATTTAAGGAATATTTAATTTTAGTAATAACACGTTGTATGCCTTTGCCATGACAATTCAGAGTATGATCATACAGGAGGTTGTATTCCCCCAGTGGGAGTACGGTGTGACCCACTGCAACTGACTAACAGGACCTTATTAAGGTCGGAAGATGTTCTTTATTCTAAAGTAAATCTCAAGGTTATTTATTTGCCTTAATGATTTCAGGATACCTGGAAAGATGTGAATCCATGCAGCTTGTCTACAAGTAGACTCAAAACCAGTTGTATAAGTGAGACCATTTTAAAATGGGAGCAACTTTCTCCAAAGTCCTAATGGTGGTGTAATTGTTACTTACAAAGTAGACTGTCTAGGTCATGCCAAGGGCAATAACAGCTTTCATACTGTCAGGTTGAGAATGTTTTCTGCTAATCTAATTATGTATTTTTAGATGCCTTAGAGGCTTGGCAAAAGCAGCCATTGAAGAGAAATGAAAATCCATTCCTTAAATTTTTTCATTGTAGTTCCAGGAGTGGGGTATTGCCGTATTGGCTTGAAAGACTAGGACAACGATGAGAAGAATAATAGCCATTTTCTGCTTCTGGGGAGCTGCTGTTACAGCAACTGCATGAGGCCTGATTTCTGTGTATAGGCAGATGTAATTGGTTGATGGTATGCTGCTGGGCTGAAGCACGGTACGGGAGGATTTTGAGGAACCCTGTTCAGGAATCAGTCCTGATGCGCTTCGTGGCTTGCGAGTCACAATGCACACAAGCACGAGTGGTCTTACAGAGAGGCTAGGCACCGTTACCTTCTGACCTGTTGGTAAAATGTGTGGGATTTTGAAACGTTAGAGAGGAAGGAAAGCTAGACAGCCTCGCAGGATTTTCCTAGAAGGCTGGAAGACCGAGAGTGCTTTTCTTAAGAGCCTCACCAGGTTCAGGGGGTGTTCAGTAGGCTTTGTAATGTAAAAGGATGGTAGCAAGAACTTCTCATCTTTTGACGATTTTTACATGAGCTGCGGTTGCAGTGTCCTACAATACTTAATAGCATTTGTTGTCGCTTACTGTAACAGTGCTTGAGTATGGAAGATTTCTGACTAAACTGGTTTTAAATTTATCAGAATCTCTGACCATTCTGTGTATGACTTATCCATAGATTCATTCCCTTCTAAACGTGAGCAGCTACTGAGCAAATATCTTGTTCCATCTGTTGCAGGTGTGGACACTGTCAGCGTCTCCAGCCAACTTGGAATGATTTGGGAGATAAATACAACAACATGGAAGACCCACAGGTCTATGTTGTTAAAGTGGATTGTACTACAAATACTCCACTGTGCTCTGAATTTGGCGTCCGAGGATACCCTACGTAAGTATAAAAGGATGTCTGCTCCTATTTCTTTCCTTTTGAGTTTTCCGTGATCTTCTGCCAATTTGCTGAAGCTAACTTAGAAGCTATATTTTTCGTTGGGTTTCTTTGTAGCCCTTTGGACCTCATATGTTCATTTTAAGCCTTTTTACCATCTTGCCGAGTACTCTAACTCTTTTTTTAAAGAAACTGTTTTGTGTCTTGGACGATGGCCGTGTTTAAATGAAGTCCAGAATTACCATTTCCTTTTCTCTGAGAGTACCTCTTTCTCAAGCAGCGGTCCCTTATACAGCCATGATACGCATGATAGTGCTGGTCTCTGGTAACAGTACTTTTAAAAATAGCTTGTCACAAATTTGTCAGTACACTGCTCCATTCATAATTAATGTACAGGTGATCTCTGAAATTCCTGGGGGAACTTTGTGCTCATAAAATGATAAATGAATAGCATCACTTAGCAGAGCAGCGGTGATGTTGTACAGACTTTTTCTAGGCAATTTTGCTTCTGCTTATCTAGGAGAAATTCATTTGGGGTTTATTGTTGTCAAATTTATCCAGTTATAAAAGAGATATGCCTTACTACCTCAGCTTTGGTAGGCTGAACGTGATCCGGAGTATCTCTGAGGGGTCAGCCTGGATAGTGCTTCCCAGCCTGGAGAACACTCCCAGTTTAGCTGCCAAAAAGGAGCAAAGGGACTTTTTTTCAGTTGTCGTCTTTAAAGCTTCTTGCAAAAATGGATGGGATGGTTTCAACTGCTTTACTGATTACATCTTAGTGGGGATAAGTGGAGAATGTAATCTCCTTTAGCCCTTCTACAGCCTGTATTTTTCAGTTTCCTTCCCTTTGCTCACTTTGCCTGCTGACCGCAGCAACAGCCTGAACTTGACACGTGCTCCTGGCTGCACCCACTTTGACACAGAAGACTGAAACTGAGTAGAAGTTGAGAGTTATAAATAGTAAAACCCTTGTTGAAGTAGGAATTGCCCTTAAGGGCACTTTGTGGCTTAGTTCCACTAGAAATACCAAGAAACAGTGAATATTACAACTCTTTTTTTAATATCCCCAAAAGTGAGCGTTGGTTGTCTTTGCCTATTTGATTAGATTATATTGTGGTGCTGTTCCTTGTAAAATAGGAAGAGTGGCAGAGATTTTGAATAAGAACAAAATGAGTGGATGTGTAATTGCTTTCCGCCCGCCTCCTTGTTAAGGTCACTGAATATCCAGGAATAGTTAGCGCTTGCTTTCATCTGCTTGAAAAATACAAGTTACAAGGGAGTTGTCTGCTAGTTACAGAAATACAGAGATGAAGGGAAATTCATTACACCAATTCTCTTCCTGTCTGAGTCAGTTTTTAACTAGCCTGTTTTTAAAAACCTCCAGCAAAGGGAAATTTCACAGCTTCCTCAGGCACAGAGGGATTGTCGCAAGTCCAGGATGCGCTTGGACCCTGCACTGCTTTTCCAAACACCGGTCAAAGGAGAGGCTGCATCCCCTTCCCATCCCCTGAGACTGAAAACTGGCCGAGCAGCTCCCTGCCCTCGTTAGTCAGGTGTCTCAGGATTAGTTGGGGCTGCAAAATACTCTCTCAATTGAACTAGGGAAAACTTTGCCTCGTGTAAGGAAAATAAAGGTGCAGCTGGCTCTTTAGGCTGTTAACTTTTTTTTTTCTCATTACTTTTCAAAAGTATCGCCATCAGGTGCGTTTCAGATGTTCTTCTGTTTCATTTTTGTAGTTTCCTTCTTATTAATATGTTGCCTCTTTTTTACCCCCCAAGAATTTTGACCTATTATTATCACAAAGAATACTCACAAATACCTTAAATAGAAAAGGCAGTGGGAGATCTTTTGAATGGATTTGCATTATGTGTTTCTTCAACACTTTCCTATGTTCATTTTTTCCAACTGTGGAACAAGTAGAGAGAGAAAAAACACATCAAGAAAGAAGAAAAAGAAAAAAAAGGCTGTACAAAATGACAGCTTGGCAAGGGGAACTGAGGGCTAGGTGACAGGAGTAATTGAAACTATGATCTGCTTTAAAAAATAAGGCTAGGTCAGAAGTCGATATTGCCCCTTTACCAAATATGTTTTTGATTTTGACTTAAAGATTTAATAGCAGAAGCTTTAGGTAGTTTATGGAAAAGTTTTGATAGCAATTATTAAATGTTACAGTCATGAAGTCTTGAATACCTACAAGCAGTCACTCATTTCCCTGCCCTGTTGACTTGTTTCAGCATGTTTTAATACCACATGAAAAGTCCTACATTCCAAGAGCAGTCAGGGAACAAAATGTGAGAAAGAAATTCCTGGGAAAATAAGCATTGGATACTTTTCCTTTGGTGTTTTCACCCCTCTCCATCACCAAAATGGGTACTTCTTGACAAACTGAAATCGGATTCATAGGCGTAATGAATGATTAACCTTCGAATTGAACACTGCAGTGTTTTATTTCCCCTTGCTTTATTGATCGAAGCAAGGCTATGTTGATTTTGAACATGGTATGTCTTTGCCATTTTAAAAATCTCCTTTAAAAGCTTGCATGGGAATGAAAAAGTCTCCTAAATTCTAGCCATGACCCTTTAAGCTGAGGGAGGTGCCTGATGCTGATGTGAATAGGCAAGAGAGCTGTTGCTGCAGCCTTAGCTGCATTGCTGTGGATTAGCAAAGCGTGTTACTTTCCGAGAATGTTTCCTGCGTGAGAATTTTTGCCTCACTCTTTTTTACATTTTGATCCTTTAGCCTAAAGCTGCTTAAACCAGGACAAGAACCTCTGAAATACCAAGGCCCGAGGGACTTCCAGGCACTGGAAAAATGGATGTTGGAGAAGCTAAATGAGGAGCCATCTGTAAGTGAAAAGGAAGTAAGAAAAGGAAATACTCCCTTCTGCAGACTCACTTATCTGTTACTTGTGTTGGTTAGGTTTCATTTTCCAGGAGGAAATCTGCCCCCAAGAATAAGAGTCAGGTGGCAACAACAAAATGGAACAGCTTCCACACAGTCAGATCAGTCATTAAAACGGTCATCCTGTGACCTGCCCTTTGTTTCCTGTGCTTAAAACTACAGTGCATAATGCAGTTTTTCATGTTTCGCATTTTGACATTTTAAGACAGAATTCTTTGTGACAGTTTAGTTGTCACTTGTAGGCCAGAATGTTTCTAGAGTAAGAAAAGCAATTTAGCTGTAATGCGTTATAAATTGCATTTGTGTTGGGCTTAATTACCTCTGAAAATGTGGATACCATCTTCAGCTCAGTTATTGTCTGATAATGTTGTAACCTAAAGAAAGGGTTTTAAACTAACGGGTTAGGTAAGTTAAGCTGATATCGTCGCTAGGAAAACCCTTGAGTTTAGAGTTAGCACTTGAACAGAGTAGCCAAGCCTGGCCTAAAATTAAATTTATAATTGCTGTTTCTAATCAAGGTAAAGCTTTGGTGATGGCTGAACCGGAATTAGAGCATGATTATATTTAAACAAATGTGGTATTTTTAATAATTAAACATTGAATGCTGAACTATTTTAAGAAATATACTTTGAGGTTCTTAAGTTCTTTCCAGCTCTGACCCTAGTCTAGTATCTAGAAAGTAGTCACCCGCAGCAAAACCATTGGCACTTCAGCAAAATTAACTTGCCTATGGAGAGTTTGCTCTTTTCCTGTTGTTGTTGCCTTCACGGAGCCATTAGGTCCCTCTTTTCTGCCCTGGGGGAGCGCAAAATAGCTTTTCCACTGGCTAATTTTAAAAGTCCACCGAAAGTGGTGCGACAGCAGATGTGGCTGATGTGTGATGCTGCAGAGGAACGGTTATCTAATCAAAGTGTATCGATACGTGGTGATCGGGTGGGTGCCGTAGCGATGGCTGTGCTCTGTGGCTGTGATACAGCACGGTGAAAGTCTGTGTTATTCCAACGGCTGCGATGGCTCTTTTCTATGTGGTAGTCTTTTCCACATTTTCCTTTCAAGCAGTTGTTTATTAGGAAACCTTAGATGTCTAAATCAAGCTCAATAAGGACGTTGCTTTAGGGATTTCAAATTGTAGAGTACAGGGCTTACAGCACTACCACAGAGTGGTGTGATACAGGAATCAAATGTTGTGTATCTACTGTACAAGACAAATAAATGTTAATTTTTCTGATGAATAGGATCTAGAGGCTGATGTGGAACCACCAAAAGCCCCTGAACCTAAGCAGGGAATGTATGAACTCTCAACAGACAATTTCAAGATGCACATAGCAGAAGGTAACTATTATTTTCATAAGCAGGAAATACTGCTGATGTGTCTGTAAGCAGGTGGGAAGCCTGCAACAGGAATGTTCATTTTCAAGATACCTCCTTCCCACGCGTTCCCTTTCCAGTAATACCTAGTGAAAGAGGATGGAACTACAGACCATGTAAAAGTGCAGTAGTTAAATTGGGTACTGCACACCATGAGAAAGTTGAAGAATGGCACTCTGCTCCAAGAACAGTAAAGTTAAGGCCCTGTATCACGTGGAAGCAGCTAGCGGGGCTCGCTCAAGTAAGCTGCCTCTTCCCAAGTTCCTTGCTCAGTCATAGTCTCGCCACTCGGTCTGTTTTTGCAAGTCCCATTTCCTCTTCCCCTAGGTGCTGGCTTGTTCTTACTCCCAGGCTGCTCTTCTAGACAAATACAATCCACCGGCTTCCTCCTGACTGCCCTCATCCCACTCCACTCTGGCCCCTTGCTTGATATTGTTTAGCTTCCTTCCTCCAGAACTTCATGTGGGCAAAACACTTTGCCTCAGTTTGGACATTTAAAAAAAAAAAATTGGTTGGGAACCTTTAAAATTAATGCCAGGAGTGAGTGATACCTAAGATGGGAAATTTCACACTCCACACGGTGGATTTTTTTTTTTTAGAGCATGAACAAGATCTTACAATACAAACTTTGGTCTGCTGTAACAGCAGATGATCTTACCATCTCTGGCTGCTTTCCTAAAAACAAAGGCCAGATTGAGTTAACTGTCTATGCCCATATGATACCACCAGTGAGGTGGATACCACCAGTGAGGTAGATACCACAGCTTCTTAAAGTAACCAGTAACTAATTAGTAATATTTTCAAATGTAAAAGAGCAGTTTGTGCGGCTAAGGTAAAATTTCCCAGCCTGAGTGGCATAGCACACAATTCCATAAGAAGTTTTCATGGATTCTTCTCTAAGCCACCAGGGAAATGCTAAGCATTAAACAATTTAACAGCCTGAGAATAATAGTTGTGTGTGTGTAAATGCTTTAATATTTTTATTTTGTATCCATTGGCATTCAGAGAGGAGAGATTCTCATGGCCGTATCTGATGGTTGAGCCGCTTTATGATCATCTGTAAAGCTGTTGTCCTCTCTTGACTTCAGTTACAACAAGTTCAGTGCTTAAATTTAGCAGGAGGCTTAGCAGTTCCAGCTGGGAGGGGTGACTTTTGTTCTTGAGAAGTGTCCCTTTGCCTTTTTGGTGCTCTAGGCTAAAAAGAATTTTAAGTTATTTTTTTGGTTTTTTCTATCGAGGAGGAGAGTGTATCACACAGTATGTGGTAGAGAATAGCTGATTTTGACTAGATGTTCTTATTAATTCACGAGAAACTTCTGATTGCAGTTTACTTGCCCAAAGAAAAGCATGTCACGTAGTTAGAAAGTTTTCCTGGTGCAGAACACGCAAGTTATGGTACGCTACTATGGTGGTTTACGTTTCCTAGTTGTTTTCTGGTGTCTTTCCTCTGACCTCCTTTTGTGAGCAAGCCCTCGAACTAGAAATGAGTTCTAGTAATATCAGCCCCAAAGCAGTCTTCGAAGGATTAAGAGTAATTCCGTTAAAAAGAGCTTTTCTGTAGTTGCTGGCATTTCCTTCAAATTAATTTGAGGGTTTTTTCCCCTTGTGTTAATTAAGTGAATTTTTATTTTGTATTAACGGAGTCTTGCCTTGATGTGTGCAAAAATGTGCAGCATCTCAAGTTAGTAATAATCTTAACAGAAAGAAATGACATATTCTGGTACTCTGCAATTAAGATTATGCTTTTAGACTAAATATTAGCAGGAGATAGTACAGAGACTCTCTATAATAAGCACTGCAAAAATCTACAAAAGGCAATGACTTCTGAGTAGTTGACATGAAAACACAGAGGACAGGAAAAGGAGAATGGAAATCTGAACAAAACTATTCAGGTACTTCACGTACTTAATGCAGTAGTGTTTCCTAAGAAATACTTTAGCTGAATCTAATACTCTCATTTATGCTGCTACAAAGACATGTCCCTTGGTGGTCCTTTCTGCCCTGTAATAGGGCAAGTGACCCACACGGCAGAGTTAGACATTGCAGCAAACGGTTAGGTTAAAAATACCAGGTTTAATATCTCATTTGTTGGCTTGAGGTTGTGAAGCTGTTTGGATTTTCAGGGAAATTGGCAACACTGTGGAACAGCACACAGTATTGAAAACCTAATTGCTGAAGTATTCTGTCCTGGCCTCTGGTTCACAGTGTTTCCTATCTCAACTCAGGAAATACCACGATAAATTTGCAGTCTGAGATTAGTACCTAGTCTTTCATGGCAGCCAAATCCATTCCAAATGAGTTACATCTCTTCTTTTTTTTTTTTTTGTTATTTTTCTTCTTTTTTTCTTTAACTTAAAAGGTAATCACTTTATCAAATTCTTTGCCCCTTGGTGTGGTCACTGCAAGGCTTTGGCCCCAACCTGGGAACAGCTGGCTCAAGCCTTTGAGCATTCGGAAACCGTCAAGATTGGCAAGGTAGGTGAACTGCGCTCAGCCCGAAAACGGCTTTTGTGTGAATGAGTGTTTCAGCCAAGCGTCCTGCTTTTCGTGCTGTCGTTTGCAAATAACAATGGTTTTGTTTGTCACCTCTTAAATCCTTTTATAGTCACAGTTTCTATTTTAATTTTGAGATGGTTATTTTTTTTCCTCGCACATCCGCAGCTGACAGGACTCCCTCGTTTTAAGGAAGGACTTGTTAGAAACACAGCTGGCCCCCTGTGTTTCAGAGAGAGCTGGGATTAAGGCTGATATTCAGATAAAGGGAATAATATTTTGAGATTGTTTTTTTAATTATGCTTCCCTTTTGTCAGAACTTGATACACTTCAGTATTTACGTTGAATGGGAAAGTGACTTCTGATTTGCTCTTCACAGCATTGGGTTCCTTAGCAAGCTTTAGACCTACAGGGCTCCTTATGATAAATTATTCCTTGCTTGTTGGTTTTTTTTGTTGTGGGTTTTTCTTTTTTTTCCCCCTCTTTACCCCCATAAAACTTTGTAAAGGTTTCAGGGGGTCTTCCACCTTAAAAACTGATACCTTGTCCTGCTTTACTATTTCCTTAGGGTTGATAACCAGGTTCTGTGGTGTATTTACCATGGGAGCTTGTTACTTGTACGTGGAGTGACTTCTGTGCAGAGGTATGGAGCTGGTCTGGCAATCGCAGTTACTGGCTTTATTTTGCTGACCCATACCTAAGTCCAGGTGGCTCGTGATATGGATTCCTCCATGTTTTCCGACAGTGGAAAAATGGCCGGGCTCAACTTCCCTGTCCTTAAGCTTTCAGTGATCCCACTGATCTGAAAGATGCGTGATGGTTGATAGTGTTGTCAGTCCTGCAGAGGGTCAAAAACCCGGCTGTCTCCCCTGCCTCTGCCCTCGTAGCTCTTTTGGCTGTTACTGGGGTGATGAGCTTCACTTCTGGTTTTTAAATGATTTTTTATTTTTAATGCTTTTGAAAATCCACTAATTTGGGTACGGTATAGATGTACTGAGCAATTGAACTTTAGAGAAGACTTACATATAATTTTCAGACCTGGTGGATATAAAACTAGATTCCCTCCGGAATAAAGTATCGGAGGCTGTTGCTTCTCTGATACTGATGGTACCAAATGTTGCATCTGACAATTTTCTTTTTGAGAACCTGGAATGCTTGCTGTCTGATAAAATCATTGCTTAGCTTAATTATCTTGAAGTTAACCACTCTTTGTTACCCAGAGAAAAATAAACAAAAAAATTCCCAAATTGCTGTTTTATTCAGTTGTCTGTCGTGTTCACTGTTACTGGTATTTGCTATTTAATACAGCCACTAAGATTTGTCTGGATGCCTAATCAATTTTGTAGAGCTGTATACGTTATGAAACATGTCTTGGCTAAGATTGCAACTCTGTAAGTAAACAGGAAGCACAACTGTTTCTAAGAAGGTCGAATCACGACCCTGGTGTAATCTGGGGGAATAGTGATTTAACAGCAGTGATACCTACGGGGCAGGGTGCTGTTTAGTCTTTAGAACTGATCTTCCGTGATCTGGAGCAAAGTGTTTCCCACGTAACATTCAAAATCCAAGTGCTGTGTCGAACAAAGGCTCCAGTGCATTAGTTAGCGCTTTTTTTTCCCCTTCTGCTTCAGAAAAGACTATGAACTGGTAACTTTACAGGTTGGTTTAGGACACGTTGGAATTGAATGTTGATGTGAGCGTGGAACTTCCCTTGAAGCAAAGTTAACTTGCTAGCCGTTGACATGTCTTCTTGACTTTTTAAAGAGTAGCCTTTTAAAAACCAGATGAGCCAGTGTATCTTCACTTTAAACCTCACTAACATCAGTGTTTTCTGTCTTACTGTCTGTGCAAATTGTCTGAGAAAACCAAGTACTTGTTTTAATTGGAATATTTAATTATGTCCTCACTGTTCCTTGTAACTGTTACTACTTCCTTCTACCCGTACCTCCCTCCTCAGTCCCTCCTTAAAACAAATTATGATCACACACAGACTCCCAGTTATACAATCAAACCACAGTTTGGAAGGCAGACATCATCGTTCTCAAGACAGTACTTGGTACTGAGTTTTGCCAAGCCATGTATTGCTTGTCCCTGTGTTTTTCTGAAATATTAAATGCAAGGGAGGTCGTGACACTTGTTGTACGTTTATTGTATGCACTGAATGGTTTATAATTTTTTTTCAAAATGCAGGTCGACTGTACCCAGCATTACGAAGTCTGCTCTGAAACCCAAGTTCGTGGCTATCCCACGCTCCTCTGGTTTAGGAATGGTGAAAAGGTGAGTCTGCAAGCTCAGCAGACGCTCAGACCTTTTTTTTTTTTTTTTTCCTGAATAACACTGACTCTGCTTGCGTCCTGGGCAAGAAAAGATGAAATGGGCCTATAGGGAAGTTTGCTTATGAGACAGCACTTGTTGGAGGTTCAGTCTGCTTGCTGGAGGAGGCATCTTCCATCCGTAGATGAAAGTTAGAGCTTTTTGCTCTTTGTACTGTGCAAATAACTGGTATCAAGATGTTCATAAATTCGTAAGTAGTATCTCCAGTTACACTTCTGCATGAGAGAATTATGGATTTACTTTATCTTAATACCTTACCTTACCTATGGAACGCAAAACCATAGATGAACTAAAAATAATAAATAATTACGTAGTTTTCATAGTGTGTATTGGAAAGTTTCTCATCTGCCAGTGGTGCCCATCTGCTGAGTGATGCAAATTTTCCTTCTTATAAATCCAGACACTTAATGTGACACTCTGAGAGTGCTGTGGGCCCAGCTGACATTGAAAGCAATTGGAAGTATTATAATGTTCTGAAGTTACCGGGAAGTAAAATATTTATAAATATACACGTACAGGAACAGCAGCTAATAAACATATAAAAAGTTGTGTTCCTTACCATATGTTTCACACTTTGAAGAAAAATTTATTAAATTGGTATTTAAAACAGTTCTGCCAGCAGAGAGCCCAGGACTCCTCCTTCAGCTCTTACCCACAAAGTTTCAGAGGTTTTTTTGTTCTTTTGCCACACTCACCTCGCGTTCCTTTTCGAACATGTACAGTGCCAGTGGTGTAAGTTTTGCTGCTCAGTCCAGTTGAGTGGCTGTTGCTTCTGGCCGTTTTCTGGCACCCTAAAGAGAAAGTGGCCCTAAGTACATACTTGTGTGAGTTTTGGTATGAACACCCCTATAAGATCAAACACTCCAATGAATTTAAATGAAACAGCACCTGGATTTTTTGAATCCCAGCCTGATTCATACAGGAGATACATGGCCTTGTTACTGCTCAAGCAGCTGTGCCTGGCACGTGTCAGAAGCAGAGCTGGAAGCTGAGAGAGTGCCCAGGTCAGACAAGGTGGCACAGGTAAGGTTAGAGGTGTTTTCAGTTCGTTAAACTTCACTCTCAATATGGTGTGACTGTGACGAACGGGAAGTGTTCGGCTCTTTCTCCAGAATGAATACCTTGCCAGAGCCATAACATCTTGATGTAGAAAAGCTAAGCTGTGGTTTTCCTCAACAAGCCAGATCACTTTGGTTTTTTGGGTCTGTGTAATTATTGAAGTTTGAGTTGCTTGGAGTTATTTGAATCGAGAGTGCGGTGAAAGGAAAAGTCGTATCACTGCTGTTGTGTTTGGGAAAGCTGAATCTCAGTCACTAGCCTGAACAGATCTGTTTCTGTTGACACGGAGCTGACTTTTTTCCAGTGGTGGTGTGGTATTCCCATACTGCCACCAGAATCACATGGTCCTTTGTGAGCCGATACAATGTATTTAGGAAAACACAAACCAAGCCCAACAGCTTTCCAATAATCTGACCCAGAAATTCCTGGAAATTTCTCTGGCTGCTATTAGGCTGTTCAGTAAGGGCAGGAAGGAGGAGGAGAACTGCTTCAGCTGTCCAGAGCACTGTTGTCCACAATGGCGCCATCACCTTTGTCATAACTAGAGTCTGGCGTCACACCACCCCTCTTGGTTAGATGCAGCAGAAACCCTGGGTGGGGAGTGAAGGGGCCCTGGCCCTGCCCTGCTGACAGGGATACAGACAGACAGGGACAGGCTTCTTGCACCACCTGATTCCTTTGTGATTTAGGCCCGGTGTGGGGAAGGTGGCTATGGTCACCGTTAACATTATGAATGACAAAAGATGGAAAGTGTGTAGAAAGAGTTCCAAAGACACCGGAAATAGCTGATGAAGTGTCTTCCAACGTACGGAAAATTGTATGCTCTTGAAGAGTTACTCCTCATCTGAGAGAGGAGGTGCATCTTGTAGTCCATGCTTCATGGGACCAAAGCTCAAGCGTTATCCAAAACGGATGTGTAGTGTCTCCAAGAAAGGATCTCTCCTTTGAACAGAGGTACTAGTTCTAACTTCCACAGAGAGCACTGAGGGCAATCACACGAGAGCTGGGTGGGAGATGGCCAACAGCGGATCTGAGACTAGAAGCTGCTCGGAGATGCTCTGACTGTTTTCCCGAGTTGTGAAAGTACTGGAGATACAGGGAAGCACCTTAGGCTCACTGTGGCTCCCCAAAGACCTGGCTGCTGGAGGGCTTTTCCGTGTGGGTTCAATAACGGGATTTAACTTCCGTGAGAGTGGTGCTGGTGGAGACAGGCAGCTGCTGTCCCTTGACCCCAGGTGAACGTAGGCACTTGGAGAGCACTGCCTTACTGCTCGGGTTTTCCGCCGGCGTGAGACAAGCGTGTGGGCCAGAAGAGTGACTGTGTCGTCAGGCGCCGTGCGAGTCAAGTCTTTCGCCCCTGTCAAAGCGCTGGACAGAGCTCTCGTGGGAACAGAGATCACCACCAAACAGCAATGGGTATCTCATTGTTCCTGGCAGTAGTAGCTTGAGGTTTGGAAAAATAAAATCTTGGAAATGCTGGCTAGAGTGAGAGATGAAGGTCGAAGTGGAAAAGTTTCTAAAATTCGCCTCTGCATTTCTAAAATACCTTTAATTTCAAGGAAATTTTAGATTGTTCCCATTTGGTACAGAAGAATCTATGGCCAATCCTGAAGATGTGGAGTGAATGGAATGCCATGGAGAGGTTTTATGACTAGATAATCATATTTATTATGCATGTGCTTACACTTGGCAATCTTACAATTTGCTGTAAGTATTTATCTGCTAATTATTTATTTACTAGATTAACTGCATATGCACATTTGCACAAACTGTTTGGTAATTGCAGGGTGACCAGTACAAAGGGAAGAGGGACTTCGATTCCTTAAAAGAATATGTGGATTCCCAACTACAGAGCTCTGGGAAAGAGGTACCAGCAGATAAACCCGCTGAAGCCCTGCAGCCACCCGCAGAACCCCCCCGCGTTGAGGTAGGTGCTCCCGCACTCTGCAACGGTGTTAAAGGTGTTCAGCCTGTCCAACCATTTCCAGGTGTACATTATACCAAATATTTCCCTTTTTTTCTTAGCAATTAATGGTTGGAATAAGACCATAAATCCTAGTGCTGCTTTTACTAACCTGATGAATGGAAGTAGGCAAAATATGATAATCTGTCTCCTTTTTTATGGTTGCTGTAAGTTGTTCAGATAGAGTGGCATAAATGTGGTTTATATGCAGCTTCTCACAGGAGAATATTACCTTTTCCCAGTTGGCTTTTACAGCAGCATTACTCATCTTGCATAAAGTGGCTTACCAAACGTTACAGACAACATAGATGTGCAGTTTTCATACCCCTCAGATTGTTATTGTTTTAAATAGCCCTCATATTGGGAAGATCAACAGAGAAAATAATTAGTTGTCTTTCTATTTATATTGAAGTAACACAAACCACATGTGATGTAAATCCAATAAAGACCTTGCATGCACCAGCACACACGCAAAGAGGCAAAGATTGGGGGGGGATTTTTTTTTTTTGCCAAATAATAGTAGACGCAGCGTAGGGCGCGATTTTGCATCGCAGCTTTGGATGCCACCATTTCCCGGTCGCTCATCGTAGAATCACAGAAGGGACCTTAAAGACCATCTAGTTCCAACCCCCCTGCCAGGGGCAGGGACACCTTCCACTAGACCAGGGTGCTCAAAGCCTCGTCCAGCCTGGCCTTGAACACTTCCAGGGATGGGGCATCCACAGCTTCTCTGGGCAACTTGTTCCAGTGCCTCACCACCCTCTCCATGAAGAATTTCTTCCTGATATATAATCTAAACCTCCCCACTTTCAATTTAAACCCATTAGCCCTTGTTCTGTCACTACAGGCCCTTGTAAAAAGTCCCCCTCCCACCTTCCTTGTAGGCCCCTTCAGAGAGGTCCTCTTCAGGCCACTCTTCAGATAAAGTGACCAGCAGATGCTCAGATAGTTGGCTGCATAAGCTGTATTTTCTTGAGAAAGTAAGCTAAATGAGCTGTCTGTTATTAAACTTATTTTTGTGGCTATACGGGTCACATTGCTATTCTGATGGTAACCTACAGGTCTTTAAAACATGTTTTATTGTGTGGATCATGGGGAGGACATTTTTTATGTGGTTTCAGATTTGGTGTCTTAGGTAAATGATGTTTGAAACATCTGTTTTAGGTATCCATTTAGGAAATTCAGAATAGAAGAATTCCTATTTACTGCTCATTCTTTCTTCATTTAATAATTTATAATTTCTTAATAATTAGAAAGTACATTTTCTAACTTAAAAATCATTCTGTAGGGGTAATAACACTTCACCTTAATGGAATAACTTAATTTCATGAACTAACAGTTATTTACAGAAATGTTTATTCAGTACCTTTAGTTCGTAATTTCAACTTTCTTTCTGGCTTCTCTTCGTAAAGCTCTTACTGAGTCTGAAGTAGAAGGGATAACACTGTCAGTTGCGCTCTTGGTTTTGTTTTGCTTTCATTTGCATTTGAAGCTTTTATAGGCCTGAGATTTATTTGTGTATTTTTAATCCCTCCCACTCCTGAGGGTCTCACACAAAAGAATTAAGCTTGTTCTGTGCTTTTGTATGAGACTGTAAGCTGTGCGCTGTTCTCCCATCGCTCAGGTGCCGCTCCTCTTGATGTTACCAGGAGTAAAAATCCTTCCGGTGCCCATGTGAGTGCGGTGAGGTGATGTCCTCCAGACAGGCAAATAAATGTGTGTTGCTAGCAACAGCTTTTCCTGTGTGTGCAATTGGAGATGCTTTGCTTCTCCAGTCATGGATGAGATTGAGTGTGTAATACACATTTTCCTACATTTCTCTAGGGAGGAAAGCAGCTGAGGGGTAAAGTGAGGTGTGCTGCTGCTACTCTGGTTTATAGTATCATCAATACCTTACCTAGTTTGCGTTTCCTTCTCAGGTAGCTAAAGCAGCTCATCTGGCCGATATTGTATATGCAAAAAATTCTGACCTTCTTTTTTTTTCCTCTTTCCTTTTGAACAGGCTGCAGTGCTCTCTCTCTCTGAAAAAGACTTTGATGCAGCCATTGCCAGGGGGATCACCTTTATTAAATTCTACGCTCCGTGGTAAGAAGTTTGCACCTCTTGTTGTTCATGATTATTGCTGGTCTAAGCTGGCAGGGCATTAGTTGCTGTAGGTCTTTGAGAGCAGCCCTGAGGAGAAGGACTTGGGGGTACTGGTGGATGAAAAGCTGGACATGAGCTGGCAGCCCAGAAAGCCAACCGTATCCTGGGCTGTATATGGAGAAGTGTGGCCAGCAGGTCGAGGGAGGGGATTCTTCCCCTCTACTCTGGTCTGGTGAGACCCCATCTGGAGTGCTGCGTCCAGCTCTGGGGCCCTCAACATAATAAGGATATCGACTGGGGGGAGCGAGTCCAGAGGAGGCCACGAAGATGCTCAGAGGGCTGGAGCACCTCTGCTATGGGGACAGGCTGAGAGCGTTGGGCTTGTTCAGCCTGGAGAAGAGAAGGCTCCGAGGAGACCTTATATCACCTTGCAGTACCTGAAGGGGCTACAAGGAAGCTGTGGGGGGACTTTTTACAAGGGGCTGTAGTGACAGGACGAGGGGTAACAGGTTTCAATTGAAAGTGGGGAGGTTTAGATGAGATATCAGGAAGCAGTTCTTCACAGAGAGGGGGGTGAAGCACTGGAAGAGGGTGCCCAGAGAAGCTGTGGATGCCCCATCCCTGGAAGTGTTCCAGGCCAGGCTGGATGAGGCTTTGAGCAACCTGGTCTAGTGGAAGGGGTCCCTTCAGTGGGAGAGTGAAGCTTTCCCTGCATGCTTAGCATGTTCCTATCGTGTGCTTAGGGTAAGGCGAGGGGAGCGTGTCACCAGTGTTGAGAAAGCAGAACATGCTGGCCTTTCGGCCCTCTCCTGTTACAACCATCCTCTCTTGGAAGCCTCAATTGAGCATCTGAGGATTGGTATGGACTGTAGAGCTACAGCTAGTTGGCTGTTACTCTTCAGATAACTGGCAAAATACTAATTTGCTCCAGTGACCGTTTTGAGATGTTCTTAAGAGTATATTCCATGTCATATGTTCTCATAGTGACCCAAGGTGGAAATGCCACCTTTCTCCTCCATTGCCCAGTCCCTTAGCCAACAGAAGGAGGCCTAGCACAGCTGTATTTCACTGTGTGAAAGGTAACACGTCTTCGGTTTCATCACTAGCCATCCCATTAACACAGTGTGTAAAATGTAAAAAGACCTTTTATTAGCGGCAGTAAAAGGTCGCCGTTACAAGACAGCACAAGCAAATGCAGTATTCAACCAGTATTGAAGTGTGCTCAGGAGTATTGAAACGTTGCAGCTTAACTGAGACAGGAGGCATGAGTGTGTTTCTTAGAGTAGGTGAGAAGTACCAGGGGAATCGTAGAATCACGGAATGGTTTGGGTTGGAAGGGACCTTAAAGACCATCTAGTTCTAACCCCCCTGCCATGGGCAGGGACACCTTCCACTAGACCAGGTTGCTCAAAGCCACATCCAGCCTGGCCTTGAACACTTCCAGGGATGGGGCATCCACAGCTGCTCTGGACAACAAGTTTCATTTTACGTGGTCTCAACAATGCCGGCTTTTGCAGTGTTGTCACCCTTTTTACCGCAGCGAGGTTTGCTGCTCAAGAGCCACCTCTGTGCTCTCTTACATCTGAAAGTTCTGACGTGGGCAAGTATGTGCCACCGCCGTGTCAGGAAATACCCTGCCCATAGGTGGGCAGACACCCCGTCACGTTTGCTGCTCGCTCTTCACTCCCTTTATCCCTCCCACTGAGAGGGACCAAGGTTTGCTCTGTGCCTGTGCTGCCACAACGGCACCGGCAAAACTTGCCAGTAAATCCCAGCTGCACAGGGCATCTTCTAGCTGGATGTCTGACCCAGGGCCCGTTGGCATTATGTAGGAGTTCATTATCTGAGAAACAACTTCTGGAAAAGTCTGAGGTGAAGAAATGCTCCCTTTTCATTAGTTTGTCTTAGTGAAAACATCCTTCAACTGCCTCTTCATCTCCAGAGTTTCTAATGGAGCGCTGCTGGCTGTCGCAGATGTGATCAGTGTTGGGTGGCAGGCTGAGAAAAGGTTGGTCAGGATGCAGTCAAGTTCTCAAACCCTGACTGCAGCGCCATCGTTGAGGAAAACACTTCCTATGTTTATGTAGCTGGTATCCTAGTTGTAGCTCTGAATATCAGGCTTGCGCGTACAGTCGTAGCGCGCTCCGTATAAATGACCACCTTCTCTTCCAAGTGGATTAACTTACGGAGTGCTCAGCAAACGCTGTTCTGTTGCTTGCTAGTTCTCCCTTTCCATTAGTTTTGGATAAATATTAGTTAACTTGCACAGTCAACATAAAATCATCCTCTTGTAGTAGTTTTTGTGCATGGTCAGAAATGCTCTTCTACTGTCACTGTGGTTTAAATATACACTGGCTTTGTGTTAAGAAAAATTCTGCAGAGACATCCTTCACTCTCCTGGGAAACACCCGGACCCAGCCTGGAGGCACTTGGGGGGCTGTTTCAGAAGCCCGGCTCAGGCGCAGCTGGGTTAGAAGAGGATGAGCAGCGCAGCTTTGAAGCCTGAAGTGCTTCAGGAATCCTTCTTGAAGGCAGTAAGAAGTTCAAGTAGGAACTTGGCCGAGTTCAAAATCTACACCAAGTTAATACTTTACTCTAGTTTCTGCCATTCTAGAGTATCATTTTCTCTCTCTTGATGCCGGTGTTTTGGTGTGTGTACTGTGGGCTGCATGCCCAGGGTACTGTAGGGACACGAGGGAATAGAATAGCAATTGGCTTTTTGGTGTTACTGATGGTGTAAGTGGAATGATTCCCTAATTAATGCGAATCAGAATAGGGCCTGGGGTTTGGTTTTCCCCATCTGCGGAGTGAGGCTTATTGAGGATCAGAGAATCCCCTTGCCTGAAAGTACAGTGACAGGACAAGGGGCAACGGGGTTAAATTGAAAGTGGGGAGGGTTAGATTGGATATCAGGAAGAAGTTCTTCATGGAGAGAGGGAAAGCCCTGGAACCGGTTGCCCAGAGAAGCTGTGGATGCCCCATCCCTGGAAGTGTTCAAGGCCAGGCTGGATGAGGCTTTGAGCAACCTGCTCTAGTGGAAGGTGTCCCTGCCCATGGCAGGGGGGTTGGAACTAGATGGTCTTTAAGGTCCCTTCCAACCCAAACCGTTCTGTGATTCTGTGATAGAGGTTAAACTTCAAAGCGCCTTCACCGAAAAAGTGAATCAAACTACTGGGGCGTTCCTTAAAGACAGAACCTGTGTTGACAAACGCCTCTATTATCACTAAGTTTCCACCATCGGGAAACGTTGGTCAAGGAGGCTGTTAGGAACGGGAAGAAATTTACTAGGGAAATTAAAATCTCATTTAAACAGTTAAACTCGGGCTGTGTAGCGTTAGCGTAGTTGGCATACGCTACGTGATAATTTAATTTTTCTACAGACATTCTGTGCCTTACAACATGTTTGTTTCTTGACGATCTTTCTTTGGGTCATTTAAGTATTCTCTGTGCTCGTCTTTATTTGGCTTCACATTTCTCTGTAGGGTAAAACATTAAAGCGCTCCCATCCAGCATACCATGCCAGATGAGACTAACGAAGGCCAGAAACGACTTCAGGGCTTAACTTACAGAAAATGCCTCATTTTCTTAGCTCACTTACTGACATAATAGTGCAAGGGAATTGGAGGGCCAAATCATTTGAGAGTGGGAAAGGTAGCTAGTTAAACTTGGAGCTATTGCAGCAAGACAGTAGAGATAAACTGGAAGGTGTATCTGCTAAACAAATCTCTCTCTTTTGTTTCTAGGTGTGGTCACTGTAAGAACTTGGCTCCAACTTGGGAGAACCTTGCCAAAGAGCAATTTCCAGGTTTGACGGATGTCAAAATAGCCGAAGTAGACTGCACTGTGGAACGTAATGTCTGCAGCAGATTTTCTGTAAGTGTGAAAGACCCGAGGTGAACGGGATAGCATTGTGTGCCCAGTGTCGGCGGCTCCGGCGCACAGCTGGGGCAGCTGCTGTGTTGCGGGTGTCTGGGGACAGTGCAGCGGTGTTGTCCGTCAGCCTAAAGGGAGGCAGTTCAGAACAGCACCTGGTGACACTGCTTCTTCCCGGAGGTGTTTGAGACTCGGCCATTCTAATTATGGGATAAAGCAGTCCCTAATTTAAGAAGGCTCCCTCTGTGAAAGCGCCAAAGCAGCCTTGGGGTGGCCGATGCAAAGTTCCATTCCGAGAAAACAGGGGTGTCTCCTGCTGATGGTAGGCAGCCAACCGAAGACAGAGCTGGGGCTGCCATTCCAGCTGCTGATGGAAGAGCCTAGAGGAACGTGTTTTATCCCCATTCACTCACAAATGTTCAGAAACTGCAGGTTGGCGTTGGGAGTTCTGGTGTGATGTTTGGGGTTTTGGTGTTTCAGTTAAAATGCCTTCTTGGTTTAGAGGGGTTTGGCTTTTCAGAGTCAGGTCAGTCCAGGTGAAGGAGACCAGCAAGCTTGGACGTTAGTAACCCGTTTCTTTTTCGTGTGTGTGTCTTGAAGGTCCGTGGTTATCCTACACTTCTGCTTTTCCGAGGTGGAAAGAAAATCAGTGAGCACAATGGAACGAGAGACCTGGAGTCGCTGCATAGCTTTGTCTTGCGTCAGGCAAGGGATGAATTGTAATAAAAGTCTGGATGCTCCGTCCCTGGCTGTCTTTGTACAGTAGCTGAGGGATTTCAATAATTTGCTCATTTTCAAATAGTGTATTAGGGGTGGGGTGGGGGGGAGGGAATTGGGGCATTTTGTTTGTTTGTTTTTAGGAAACTGAATGTACTAAACATTGGTATCTTCCCTCTGTGTGTGTGTTACAGACACGCTGTGTGCGAAGGAAAACTAACAAGTGGTTACTGTGCAAATTGAGAATATTTTCAGCACTGGTGGTGTCACTGCATTTCTGCGTTCCCGCAGTGAAGTGTAAATGGTTTCCTTTGAGACTAAAATACATTAGGAAAACCATCTTAAGGGCACGAGTAGAGTATTTTTATCTTCAGGTCAGATTTGGTTGAAAAGCAATCCTTACAAACTGCCCACCATTACTAGAAAGGTAAAAGCTGCAGCTGTGTTGAGTCACTTCTGCCTCTACAACCGTACTTGATCCCCGCTTGTCTTAATATAGCGGCTGGCTGCGAAACGGAAAGTCAGGGGAGGTTGAGAACACACACACCTTTGGAAGATACCAGGCCCCCACGAGCTGGTTGTGTTCCCTGTTAATCCTCTCAGCGTGGGAGGTCTCAGCCATAACGAAAGCGATGGTACTGTAACACGTGCCTGAACATTCCTGGTGCCATAGCGTACGCGTGTCAGGTGGACGTTCGTAGGCTGCTTCCGTCGGCTCCAGAGGAGGAACTGTGCTCTACTTGCGTAGAGCCAGAGCGAGCAGGCGCTACTGTAACCGCCCTGTTAATAGCGAGCGCCCAGTTAGGCCTCGGAGCTGACGACGTACGTTTCCTACCCTCGCCTGAATCCAGGCTTCATGCTTCAGAGTACTTGGAGAACAACGTGTAGTACAGTGTTAATTTTTTTCCCACTCAGCTGTTCTGTAGTAGCGTGAGACAGTTCCCCACTCTTGAGCCTTAACCTTTTTCTGAGCTGCAGGCGCTGGTAAGTTTGAACGCTAAGGACCAGGCCCTCTGTGGTGCCTTGGATTCACCACACGGATCTGTTCTTCAGTGCATAAGTCGTTCCACGTTAGACATAACTGAAAGCCAAAGAGTTTACGCTGCGGAGACTGTCACAATGCAATGACAACAGCAAACCAAGGACTGGGTTCTGCCGTCTTGCGTGGACAGAAACTCACGGAATGAGGATGGCTACCAGCTAATTTGACTAATGTGTCAAGATGCTGATTTTTGTCCATCATATGGAGTAGGTTGGGTGGTTGTTGGTTGGTTTTGGTGGTTTGTTTGTTTTAAAAAAAAGGCAAAACAGCAATGAACTTTCAAATCGGTGAATTTCTCCTGGTACTTCACTGTCTGTCCAGAACTTCTGATTCCCTTCAGTCTGCGAGTGCGTGAGGGTGAGAAAGCCAGAGGGACAGCCGAGTGTTGCGCTGGCAGATGCATTAGGTCAGTTGTATGTACTTCTGCCTTAAAGGAAGCCTTTATTACCACGTTTTTAACAACTTTCTAGTGAAGCACAATCTCACGAGTTTCTTGTATAAAATCGAAGTGGTACAATTGTTTACACTGAGATCTTTTTTTTCTAAATAAAAACTTTTTTAAAAAGCAGTCTTTCTGTAAATGGTACAGCACGATGAATATACAGTGACAAGTGCAATAAATTATAGCTTGTATTTACAAGAAGCCTTTTAGATGCAAGAATTGGAGGTAAGTGCATTTAATACAAGTTTAATATGGATCAAAACAATTCGCTGTTAGCTTCTGCTAGACAAACCGCGGCTACACTGCGAATGTGTCCTTCATACCGTTCCTTAGATGCGTGAGTTGAAGGGGAAAGGCTGGCCAGACACTTGCTGTTCTTGACAGCCCGTCTTCCTGTAAATAAATTGTCCAGCTAGAAAGTGAATTGGCCCCCTAAATTTTTACGTCTGAATCGCAGCTGTAGAAGGGCCCCCACTTCCTTCCTGGGCAAGTGGTAGTCGGTGAGGCAGCTC